CGGACCTCAAACTGGGTATCCTTCTAGGGGCGGATAGATGGCTTCGTACATATCAAAATAAACGTTACAAAGAGAGGTTAGGGAAACGTTGGACGTCTATTTGTTATATTTATGAAGTAAAAATGCGGCAAATATGTTACCTTTCGTGTCAGTTTTCTATTTCTAGAACTGTTGCTTCGAGTTGAAAAAAACTTTACGGGGAAATCCGATGCACTGATTTCTTTAGGCGATCATAACATTACGCGCATGCAAACTTCGGGGATGTTGCGTCATACGTGAAGTGACGTCAAGTTGCTGAAAGTTCTTCTATCTCAACGATCTGGGAAACGTGGCATCTCGCCGTACTTTTCCCCTATCCAATTTTTTATTATCGTCCGTTATCCGAGTGATTGCTTTGTTCTGGGCATAAACATAGGATGTATGGGCTCTACATCCTGATGTAACGATAAAGAGCGGAGAAATGGAAGAGAGAAAACAAAGGCGCTTTTTTCTGGCACTTTCTCTCTCTTTTTATGTAAAACAGGTGCGTAGTGCAATATCTCAGGCAATAATCGCCGAGTGTTTGGGTACGTAAGTTCGATGCTTGGGTTTTTAATAAAAAAAAAATAAACTTTATTAACGATGATTACCGAGGATGGTATGTACGACTCTAACGTAAAACTTATTGTTACCGGTGTCATGATTAAACAACTTTGCTAGTTAGTTTCCACAGGACCGACAGATGGCATGTGGATTTCCCGCAAGCGGTAAAGATAGATCGTGTTCGTATGTAAAATCAGTTACTGATCTTTACTTTGAAAGAAATATGATTATCGCAAGCTAGCAAAGTCGAATAGTTAAACTACTGTGGTACATTTGAACGTTACAAATTTTATAGTCACTGTTACCCAATAATTTAGTGAATTACGAGTCTAACGTGAAACTTATTGTTACCGGTATCGCGATGGAAGAACTTTGCTAGTTAGTTTTGACAGGACCGATAGATGGCACGTGGCTCTCCCGTAAGCGGTAAAGACAGTAGATTGTTCGTATGTAAGATCCGTTACTGGCATTTACCTTGAAATCGTGATTCCACTCCCCTCCACTATTTCAAACGTCCACACTCAAGGTCCACGTCAAGAAGACCCACCGTCTTTCCCCGAAGAAGGACGAGAAGTGATGAGAAGAAGAGAGAGGAGACACAGAAGAGAGATCATCGAAAACACTATACTCTGGCAATGAGATGGAAGTAATTCCTCCGCACAGGCACCCGATGGTTACTATGAAATTTCTGTGATATATATATATATATCACAGAAGTCAAATCGTTGGTGAAAGTATTCTCCGAATTGGGGGTACCGATTCGATTCAAATTTTACCACGTGAATATGGGCGCCCTAAGGTAGGTCCTGAAAATCATGAAATTTCATTTTTCATCAAAAATTGATCGACTTATCATGGATTAGAACCAACATAGCATGGTCTATGCACGTTTTCGATGTTTTACGCTTCTTGGAGGCTTATGTTACGTAACCGGAGCCAGCAGTGACGATTCTGAATTTCTATGGCGAAATTCAGAGTGAGAGATTCGGGATGAAAAATGATCGTTAGGATCTTCACCGAGGATTCTGTATCCCGAGTATGCTTTTCCCGTATTGATGCCGGAAACGATGCAGAAAGAATGTTGAAAGAATATCCCAAGCGGCTGGAATATTCTTATCGGGGATTTGTTACTCTTTCAAAGTGCTTTACACACCTTACTGATTCGTACCCTTGTGGTCGTACTTCAAGAAACACTGGATAGAGGGTTTTCAAATGAATGAAATAGAAAGTATGGATTAAGTATAATTAACAACAAACAATTTACAATGGATACAAGCCAAAGTTTGATTAAATACGAATTGAAGATTGAGAGTGACGCGATAGAGGCTAATTCGCGTGGAACGATCTTCTTCATTAAGAATGAATTTAAAATTGATGGGTATTTGGGAAAGAAATCTGCGTCCTAGGATCGCGGATCTGTCCCGAGTCCATCTTCCGATTGTGTGATAAACGATCTGTTAGGTCTCCTTAACCCTTTCGCTACGACGGGTGACTATAGTCACCGTACGTTTGGTCCAATATTGCCTGCACGGTCAGACGAATTTCGCCCATATGTCGAAAAGGCTCCGTGTTCAAAGGGTTAAGGTGTACGGTGGCTGTCGATCCCTAAATCCGATCAGTTCCCTACCCCGAGACAGAGTTCCAACATTTTCCAATAGTTTTCGGGTGTTTATATACTGTCAAAAGAGTGTCGGTCGCAGGTGGGGTCGACGGACTTTGGCGGTCGAACGCCGATTGTTGTCCTGTCGATTCTGCAGAATTGCATCTTTGAACCGGCAGCTCTGTCTGAGGTTAGTGAGCTGGTAAATTTATAAGGTTTTTGAAAAATAGGACCTACTTAGAATCGAAATCGAAGAGTTTCAGGACCTAACTCGAACAATTTTGAATACCGTAGAAATGGAATATTAGAGTCAGATGAGAAAATATGGAAAATACTTTCACCAACGATTGCAAGAGAATGTTGACTTGTCTCGAGGCTGACACGTGCTTTTAAAGCAAAAATTTAGTTGCAGCTAAACATCACAGATGGCGACGTTGGTCCTAAACAATCGTTAAAATAATGAATTCACGGGATTTCGACAGTTTGACATCGGCCTCCTCATCGTTACTTTACCGAAATGACATATGGAACGCTTCGGTTCGTACAATTCTCAACGTAGACTGTAAAAGACTTCAACATAAATATAAATGTCGGTAACAAGACGCGCCAGCTTATGTTACCACTTGAGTATCCAAAAAGCGTTACCACCAAAAAGGGTTTCTTAGGTTTTGAAGGGTTTTTTTTTCATTTTATCGACGTCGATTAAATTTCTTAGCGCCTTTCGTGTCATCTTGAAAGTCTAAATCATTTGTGTCACTATCGTTAAGCGAGAGAGAAAAACCGAGGACCTTCACGATATTTGTCTTCCTCTAAAGACATAAGATTCTGATCTCTCTTCAGGCTAAGACTCGTCGAACGCACACTATTACTCTGCAAGGCATAAAAAAGGTTGAACCGTAAACTGCCGAAGCCGTTTCATGCTGCGGAATTCCGAGTTTAAAGCATGAGATAACTTTAAGACCGGTGCGAAAGAACACGTAACAGCGTGTGTACGTTTTTGCGGAGGAGCTCGTGTACTTACGGGCCATTCTTCGATGTGTGGACAGAAAACTGAAAGCACGTGTGCGGGGTTGAACAAGTTTGAGGGGAGAAGAAAAGCCCACGTGGAATCACGCAAGGCCTTGGTACAGATTCTTCGGCGTAACCGTTTCTTCGAGGTATGAGGCCGTGTTTACGGAGCAATTCTCTCAGTAACCATTCTTGAAAGTCAATCGAATTAGTTTCATAGAAGTTTCGCAAATAAGTGCCATTCTACGACCTTGCGTCGTTACTAGATCATCGAAGCACATTACGTGGAAAATCGTGCAAGACAGGGAAATGATTCCGCCAGGCTGGAACCGAGAGCACTCAGGAAATCCTGAATTTTAAGACTCGAAGGCCCATCCTCATATCCAATTTTTAACAGTGCTTTTGAACGCCTTTTAGTTAAAGATGATCGGATCGCTGATAAAACACGCCATGCTCGTACCTTCTTTTATGACCGCTTCTAGTTAAAAGGCCGCTTTTACGAAATGTAATCTAACAATGTCGGAAAAATGTGACGACTGCGTTCCGCGTGCCCAACGCGTGCGTTTTTTGTATGGCAATAGTTCAGAGTCTGTTGAACTTTGTTGCAAAAATCAGAAGCGTCCTTATTTTTAGCTCTATTCTTTTTGTTTTCCTGTCCGTATTTTTGTTTCGTGCTCCTACCAGCCTGAACTTCATATAAACGACTTGAATTCATTATGGCAAGACATCATGACCGTCATCATTCCAATGATTGAAATACTTGTCTCGCATACAAGAGGGTCCCGACTCAACACCAGTTGGAGTCTCTTTCTTCCATCAGACGACGCATTGTCTTTCGCTAACACCCAAGAAGCGTAGAATAATTCCTAAATATTTCTTTGTAATCTTTTCTAAATATCTCAAGCGACAGATTTTTTTAAGGTCAAGTGAAACCCCCTTCAAATCAGTCGATTCGAATACAACACTTTTTTTTAAGGGTATTAGCCCAAACTGTCCGAAACTTTGACACATCGCTCCTGATCATCTAAGAATTGTCCTGACACATTCAAAATATGGATTTTTTAACAAAATTTGTTTACTCAGCCCAGATCAGAACCAAAATGGCGTCGAGCTTTCATTTTTCGATCAACATACAATTATCGAAGGCTCCAATATGAGAATCGAAAGGGTCAGGACAATTTTACGATAATTTAGAACACTCTGGTAATCGATAAACTCGCATTTTAACGGGATAAAGGCAAAAAAAGTGTTGTATGCGCTTCTATGCTAAAACGATGGGAATAGGAGGTCTCGGAGTGAAAATTTAATTGACCTGGAAATCACAGATGGCGCAGGGGGTCCCTCTGCAGTCAATNTTAGTCGATGTGTGCACTGAGCGGCTCATATATGGATCTAAGCCTTCCAGAGGCTCGCATATATATATATACGGATGACGTGGCAGTTAACGCGCTAATAGTACGTTAGAATTGCACCCGTTGAATGCATTTGGTGAGAATAAATTCGAGAATGAGATAGGGCTTATCTCGACGAAGCAATCGGCGGATGTTGCGGCAGAATTCATTTTCGTAATAGAATCGTCCCTGTGGTTAAATCTAAAAGCGAAACATGGTATTATTTGTTCTCATTGTGCGCATATCGACACTTTTCTATTGAGAAATTCTGAATCAGTGATGAGCAAAATTGGTCTTGGTCTTGGTAAATGTGTAAGACCATGATCAAGATCGTGACTCGCCCGTGCAAGACCAAGACCAAGACTTGAGAATGCAAGTCGAAAAATCTGAATATGCAAGACCAAAACCAAAACTTGAGGATGTATGATGAAAATCTCAATGTGCAAGAGCAAGTCCAAGACTTGAAGATGTATGACCAAGATCTGAATGTGAAAGACCAAGAACAAGACTTGTGGATGTAAGACCAAAATCTGAATGTGCAAAACCAAGTCCAAGATTTGAAGTTGTATGACCAAAATCTGAACGTGCAAGACCAAATCCAAAACTTGAGGATGTAAGACCAAAATCTGAATGTGCAAAACCAAGTCCAAGACTTGAAGTTGTATGACCAAAATGTGAACGTGCAAGACCAAATCCAAAACTTAAGGATGTAAGACCCAAATCTGAATGTGAAAGACCAAGACCAAGACTTGTGGATGTAAGACCAAAATCTGAATGTGCATGATCAAGTCCAAAACTTGAGGATGTAAGACCAAAATCTGAATGTGCAAAACCAAGTCGAAGACGTGAAGTTCTTTAACCAAAATCTGAATGTGAAAGACCAAATCCAAAACTTGAGGATGTAAGACTAAAATCTGAATGTGCAAAACCAAGTCCAAGACTTGAAGTTGTATGACCAAAATGTGAACGTGCAAGACCAAATTTAAAACTTAAGGATGCAAGACCAAAATCTGAATGTGAAAGACCAAGACCAAGACCAAGACTTGTGGATGTAAGACCAAATTCTGCATGTGCATGATCAAGTCCAAAATTTGAGGATGTAAGACCAAAATCTGAATGTGCAAGACCAGGACAAGGATGTGTATGACCCTGATTCGCAAGACCAAGACCAAAACCAATACCAAATAGTACAAAACCTAAAAAGTTCGAGGTAATGCATGATTTAAGTGTAATATTTTTTCAGTCGTGCTACTCAAATAATTATTTCAAATTTAGGGAAAAACTATCCCACGCATTAATCTTTAAATAACCATAACATCCATCATTTTAAGCATTTAAGCGTAATGGTGTTCATTAGAACCTTCGATTTAAAAAGGAGAAACGTAATGTTTTTACACTTTACATTCAATTTTATTATGTCAATTAGGTCTGTTGAATGTATTTAACATACAACATTCGACTTACGAACTTTAATGCCTTCTCTAGTTTCATGTTATTACTGCAAATTACATTTAAATTTAGTAATCGTCATTTTTTGTTATGAGCAATGTTAAGTAATTTCTTATCGAGTCCTACTTGGCTGGTCCATGTTTTACAAAACACAGCATTATTTTTATATGTTTTACATTTAACTCTGGATAGGGTCCTTTTGACTGAAATCGTTGTAAATGGATAGCACGTCGATAAATTAATTATGCAGAACACGCGCAACTATACAGGCTAAAAGGCGATATTAGGATTTTGTGGGCTAATAACGTGCAATCAATTTCATAAACGTCTCGATCTGTTCAATGTCAGTATTGTAATATTTTTTGCACGGACTCGCCATGTAGTACTCGATAAGAAATCACTTAACATTGTACGTAATAAAAAATGACAACGATTAAACTTATACGTAATTTACGGTAATAACATAAAACTAGCGAAGGCATTAAAGTTCGTAAATGAAAAAAGAATGATAAACTAATGCCAGATAATACAAGAAGCATATTTTATTTTTTACATTTTTTTAATGGGAATTCGCAACGACCATGTACTTGGCGAGGTTTCTTTACACGGACGTGTTCTTCTCGGGTATTTCAGAAGTTTTAGTTTTTGTTAGGAAATAGGATAAATAAAAAAACGTTTAACTTATCCCAATTAATCGAGATAACCACGTTTCAATGGACATAAAGAAATGTCCCACCCTCAAGCGCCGTTGAATGCATAATACACGTAAAATACTCATATACCAATGTCTATTGAATGTACATAATATGTCTATAGATATCTATGAAAGCTATTTTAGATATACTCAAAGGTTGAATGACCGGAAGCCACTATTTACCATTCCCTTTCTAATCAAAATGGCTGATTTCTTTAACACGCACACATTCTCCGGTTTTCAAAATCCATTTCAGTACCTACCATATAAGCTGAAACGTGGGCTCAAGAAAAATAAGCAGTTCCCTCCCTCCGCAATTATGCAAAGTTTGTCCCGAGGGGACAAAGTGATTCTTTTTCCCCGTTCTAGGTATTCCACAATCCGGACAGCTCTTAAAGGTAAATAAATACGAAAAAAAAAAGAAAGTAAAAGTGAGCGCACGTACGCGGGGGCTTCCAGTAGAGACAAACCGTATCGGGGAATCCCACCGACAACATAAATCAACATATTCTAAAGAGTTCGGGGAGTCGATGTCAAGGAAGGACACGTTAGCGTGACCAAAGTCGGGAACACGACATCGGGCCATCAAAAAACTACGACGGAGCTATGATTCTTCCATAATGGCGTCGTTCTGACGTAGCTTCTTGGGACTTTTTGAGCCCGTAACTCACGCAGCTCCCGGTTAGATACCTCTAGGTTAGAAAAGCTTGGAAAAAAACACATAGAAACCGTTCAGACATATTCCTAACGAACGAAGTCAAAATTGGAATCGCTACCGAATGTCAAAATATCGATTAATGCTTGTAAAATATTGGCTCGTTTAAGGTGAAGTGAAACCCCCTTTAAATTAGTCGATTCGAATACAACACGTTTTTTCAAGGGTATTAGACCAAACTGTCCGAAACTTTGACACATCACTCCTGATCATCTAAGAATTGTCCTGACACATTAAAAATTTGGATTTTTCAAAAAATGTTTTAACTCAGTCCAGACCAGAACCAAAATGGCGTCGAGCTCTCATATTTCGATCAATATACAATTATCGAAGGCTCTGATATGAGAAACGAAAGGGTCGGGACAATTTTACGACAATTTAGAACACTCTGGTAATCGATAAACTCGCATTTGAACGGGATGAAGGCAAAAAAAGTGTTGTATGCGCTTCTGTGCCAAAACGATGGTAATACAAGGTCTCGGAGTGAAAATTTAATTGACCTGGAAATCACATATGGCGCAGGGGGTCCCTCTGCAGTCAATTTAGGCCCCAGAAAGCATGAATCCAGAGGATTTTTGGAGTTTTACTTGGATTTCTTTATAATTATTGTACGAAAACGATAGGTAGAGTATGTCATTTGGTACGATACCCAATATAATTCGACCCAGCTGTCCATATAAAAACGAACGTCGGCAACGTAGGCATTTAGAAAAATCTTCTTTATCGACGTCGATCAAGTTCCTCAACGTGTTTCACTTCACCTTAAGCTGATACATGCGCGCAAGTACGCGGTTATCACATTCCATTGTACAGGTACAAGGAATATGTAAGAGAAGTTTATCATTATTTTTTTCATTTACAGACTTTAATGCCTTCAGTAGTTCGATCTTATTACTGCTAATTACATTTAAGTTTATGTAATTGTCATTTATTAATATGTCATTTATTAATGTGTATAACGTTAAGTGATTTCCTAGATACCGCGTGACCCCCCTAAAAGCACCTTCGTGTAAAAAAACATTGCCAAGTACAGGGTTACGACGAATATCTTTGATAGAAATCACTGTTTCTATCCTACATTAAGTTTCTGAAAAAAATGTCCTTTCCAAAAATTAATATCTCTATCTTGCATAAAATTTTCAGAAATAATTACCCTTCCAAAAGTCACTATTTATGTCGTACAATCAGTTTCTGAAAAAAAAAATTACTGAAATATCATATCGTAATACCAAGTATGTACGTTACTTCAGGTGAAGTAAAACACGTCGAGGAACTTAATCTACGTCGGTAAAAAGGGTGTTTCTAAATACCTAGGTTGCCGACGTTTGTTTCTATACTGACAGCTGTGACAAAGTATATTGAGTATTGTACCAAATGGCATAATATACCATATGACGTTTTAGCATAGAAACGCATAAGACACTTTTTTTGTCTTTATTCCGCCCAAATGCGAATTTATCGATTACCAGAGTATTTTAAATTGTCGTAAAATTGTCTTGACACTTTTGTTTCTCATATCAGAGCCTTTAATAATTGGATATCGATCGAAATATGAGAGCTCAAGGCCATTTTGGTTCCGGTCTAAGTTAAAAATTTGTTTTTCAAAAATTCAAATTCTGAAAGTGCCAGGATAATTCCTAGGTGCTCACGAGCCATGTGTTAAAGTTTCAGACAATTCGACCCAATATTCTTAAATTAACTTGTTTTATTCGAATCGACTGATTTGAGAGGGGTTTCACTTCACCTTAACTATTTGAGGATCCTAATTAAACCACCGGTACACGTTACAATAACCTAACGGCACACATACATACCTCTGGTCCTTAAAGGGTTATTATCTTTTTTCCTAATCTGAAGTATCTTCTATCTATATGATTCAACACTTTGTGAATTTACTACATCTTTGTAATATTTCTATAACAGTAATTATTCTCAATCTGATCGTCATATATTAATATGTTAAACGCTAAATGATTCCTTATAAAGGACTACTTGGGTCGGTACTCAAAATTTTGCCGAAGTAAAGCTGGAGTACAATCATCAAATTCAGTCTTCTTCAATGGAAAGTATTATTTCTAAGTCGATAGAGCGTCAAATTAGGTAAACCTGGGGTTTAGGGGATCCAACTCATTGTCAGATGACCTTAACGTTGACCTTGATATTATCAAGGTCGTTCTCCTAAGTGACCTCTACATGGTTTTAGCCATCTCTCGTTGTTTATTTGTTTCTTTTCCGTAGTTAAATATATATTTAAAGACTCACGTGTTGTTGCAGTTAACTGTTGACCGGTCTCCTCGCAGCGGCCTTATTCGAACTGTTAACCTAACTTAACCCAAATTAAGTTAAATTAAATTATTCCAAACATTTGAAATGCGATATATAAGATTAAATATACGTTGACATTCCCAACTGTTTTAGAAGGATTCAGTTTGAGTTGATTTAGGTTAGATTAGGATAGGTTAGGTTAGGTTAGGTTAGGTTAGGTTAGGTCAATAGGAAGAAAGCGGCCGCCGCGCTGCAAGGCTACCAGTCATCCATTAACTATAATACATCAAATTCTAATTCACTTAATCATATATAATTATGTAATTATGTTCTAACAGATATATCGAACTCATAACTTTACGAAAGCGTTAATCCATTCGCCGAAATATCTTCTTTTAAAAAATAAATATTCAGCAAGATAATGCGCGAAGTGATGATCGCAGATACCGTAACGGGGATTTCTCTGCATAATCTTTGTTCATTTTGCGTGTGAACTCCACTTTCAGGATCCACAAAATTACGTGCACGGTTTTTTGACGGACGTTCAGAATCTTTAAATGTATATTTTTAGTTACGAAAGTACACGTTCAAACTGTCAAAATTTCTTTGTTAATGACTTTTTAACAAACAACGAGCGACGGTTTAAACCTTAACTAGGTCCCTCAGTGGCTGACCTTGACAACATATGTGAAGGTCAAGGTCATCGAAGGTGGATCTCCTAAACACCAGTTTTACCGTTTTTTCTTTATAAGAAATGGAAATCAACTATTCTTGCGAAATACGGTGGTACATTAATCCTTTTAAAATCCTAAGTCAGATATGTTGCCAATCGTTATAGTATATTTTGCCTTGCGTAATGTATGTACAAATGTACATAAGATGTGCAGAGGGAAAACAAGTTTTATCGTAGATATGATCAAACGTTTGTTTTC